AAAATATTTAGAATTTTATTTGGTATAAAAATGTGGTTTTAAAAAAAAAACACATTTTATAAAGTGTAGCTTTTATAAAGCATAGCGTATATATTGCATATTTAGATATTTCCTTTGCATATTTGCATCATATTTGACAATTTTTAAATGCATATAAATCCGGGCTCTAATTATCAGGTATATACAAAGTAAAATTGTGACTATTTACTTATATATTAATTTACAAGTGTTAACCATTTAATAATTTATTTTATTATTCTTTATATTTTTATAATTGTAATGTAAGTAATAGTACTATTGATTATTACATTATGTATATTTAATCAAAAAGAATATTATTTGTCATACAATTGAAATAAGTCATGTAAACTGTGTTTTATTTAATTCTTCAAAAAGTTTTGACTTTAATTTCTAAATATATGTTATATGTTCTAAAAATATGTTGTTAAAAATCCTTAAAAATTAAAAACTGATTTAAGGACCAAATTAATATCAAAAATATTACTATATTCTACAACCATGTTAGTTTATATTATTGAATAGTCAATATAAAAAAAATTTAATATTTGATTAAATTATTATTATTAAGTTTATAAATATAAAATATTATCTTGTTTATAAATATAAAATATTATCTTGGATTGATTAATACAATGTTGTATACATATTTGATTCATTATAGTTTAGTTTATTTTTTACATTATTGATAATGGATAAGAGTATTACCATAAAAGCTTCTTTTACAGCATTAGAAACTTGTTCAACTGTCGTGCAGAAATGTCCCTTGCGACCAAATAGAGTCAGTATATTCTCATAATGAATATTTACAGAAAAGCAATTGGGAGGAATACTGAAAGAAAATCAAAATGATATCAGTAACATAATAGTTGAATTATATTTACATATAATTCAATAACATACATTTCAGCCAAATTATCAGAATCTTGTACTAATTTCCATGTTTCCTCATCCACACCTCCATATATGCCATTGTTATTAACAACAATGATTACTATTGGTAATTTATACCTGTAAAAAATTAAAAATACTTTTTATTTTATTCATACCAACAATAATTTTTTTAAATTAATTAAGAATTAAAATATAATATTCACTTCTATATTATTTTTTGATATCACAAATTACATATTAAATAATATAATATTATAGAGTGTATAGCAAAAATCAGTTCCTGCTATCTTGTTTTCGATGTGCATCCACAAATATGAATTTTAAGCTGCACTGATAACAATGGCAGCAGGTCTTATTGTTGGTACGATTAGTAGGCCTTGTGCTGTGATCGTTATACATGTGGGTAGTGTGTGTCAATGTTCATTTACTCGCGATACACATACAAACTTACAATGGTAAATTCATTTTTTGCAATTTTTTTTGTTTTGTAAATCGGAGAACTGACTTCTGCTATATCTATTTATTATATTGAATATATCAATATACATAATATTATATAATAAGTTTTAAAATATAAAAATAGTGATCTAATAAAATTATTATATCAATCCATAAAATCCTTTATTATAATCAGGGTTCGGGAGTTAAAGCATTTACTTATTTTTAGGGAATGACTTAAAATGTAGCAGAGTGCTATAGAAGTGTATGTCAAGTTATAACACGTACAATTATGAAATTTGAGTGCTTTTTTTTTTTGCTTTTTTCAGCAATTTTTCTGATTATTTTCACTTATGTGACCAGTTTTCTTTTACGTTTTAATAGTTTTGTCCAACCAAATTGTTTTTGATAAAATTAAAATTAAAATTAATTATAATCTACATTGTCACGTAGTTCGTCGTCATCCAAGGCATTGATGTAGGGTTAACAAAGATATTCCAACGCTGAAAATAAAACTGAGTGTCAAACGTCAGAATAATCAAGAACAAAGAGAACAGTTTACATTTTATTTTTCAGAAAAATCCCTTAGAAAATCCATAAAATCCTTAAAGTCTTGAAAGTGAAGATTTATTTTTATTTTGTTTGATTTTTTAGTTAGAATTTTATAGTTTTTTTTTTTTTTTTTTTTTTTAATAAATATTTTTACTTAATTTTTTAAAACTTCTAAAATATTAAAATTTTGTGATTTCAAGAATCTCTATCTATAATCCAATAATTATATTACATGTACTAATAAAATATTAATTATAAAGCAATAATCCAAAAATATTATATTATAAAATAAAAATATATTTAGTTTACTAAACAGATGATTTTAAAAATAAATGTAAAGTTATTATTTATTATTATTTTAATTGTATGAAAAATGTCAATTTTATACTCCAAGTATCTTTAAAATGTTAATAGACAGAATAAAGTTTCATTACAAAAACTAAAAATATTTATAGGACAGACCTGACCATTGTTTCTACTTCCATTCCAGAAAATCCAAATGCTGAATCGCCTTCAATGCATAAGACTCGTTTTCCAGGTTCATATTTCTGACACCATATGGCTGCAGCAATTGCAAATCCTAATCCAACTCCCATAGTACCAAAGGTTCCTAAACATCACAAATTAATAATATTTAGAGACCACCCTTAAATATTAATTAAATATTATGTAATAGTAATTAAGTATTACCAGCATCAAGTCTATGTCTAGGTAAATTATTTAATAATACAGCTCTACCTATGTCCATAGTATTAGCTCCTTCGCTCACAATAATACAATCTGCAAAAAATAAAATTTACTAGTACATGTTTGAAAATGTGTAATCCAATATGGTAAATTTTAGAAATGTTGTAATTATTATGGTTTTTAAAATAAAATGTTTAATGCCTTTATAATGGAGTAGATGCATCATATGAAAAAAAATTAAAATAAAAACTTTACTTAAAAATTAAAATAATTTAAATATAAAATATATTTCATTATTGAGGAATTAATTAGTCATATTTTAAAGCCACAACAATATTTTAAATATATTAAAGGTCAGTTAGTTGAATAAACATAATAGGAAACAAAATAACATTGTTTTATTGTGAAAATATTAATTTTCATATAACATAGATAATCATAATATATTGATTTATTGTATTCATGCAAAAGTATAAAGAAACTTTATGGTAAAATATAGAAGAGTTCAGTAGTTCTAACATTTAATATTTAAAAGTACTAATATACAAAATTTTAATTCAAGTTTAATTTCTAATTCCAGATGTATTATAATGAATAATGTATTAAAAAATTATGAGTTAAGGATTTGCAATTATTAAAACAAAATAAAATATTTATAAAATACTTAATTTAAATATAAAAGAATGTTATTTTTCAAATTAAAACATGATAAGTAATAATTCCATAAATGTTATATTATTTTAATATATTAATTAATTTTACTTTTAACTCAAAAAAACCATAGAAAAAAAATGATAAAAATTACAAACTAATAATATAAATAAGTTAATTATTTTACTTAGACAGTGATGTGCAAAGTATTCATCAATTAAATAATCATTGATTCAAATAAGCACTATTAAATAGTTCCAAGTGTAGAAATTTAATAAATAATAATAATAATGGTTTTATAAAATATTAAATTTCAATAAATAAAGACGTTATATTTAAGATAAAATTAAAGAAATAGTCATAAATAAGTATCATAAATAAAAACTCTTCTTTTCCCTGCTATAAAACCCATATTTTATACATAATTGGGTTTAAAATTTAATACAACAAGAATTATTGCATCAAAAAAATATATGATTTGTGTAATTTAATATTTATTTAAAAAATTAATTGTTATCAATAAAACTAACCTTTTGGAATGCTATCATAAATATGGTGAAAAACTGTATAGTAGTTCAAAGGAACAGATGTATCTTTCATCATTGACTGAAATGAATTAAAAAAATATTATTAAACTTAGCTAGACAGAATAAATTTGTATAAATAAAAACTATTTCTTGAACATCATATTTCTGAAAATATGACTTACTTCTACATATTTTTTATTTTTTAAACACTTTTCTTTGAGTTGATTCAACCAATCTTTTCTCGTACATTGCCATTTTTTTTCTACCAAATAAACATTTAATGCATCCACTGCAGCATGCATATCCGCTTGAATAGCAACGCTAGCTTGTTGACTATTATGTAATTCTTCAGGACTAATGTCAATCTGTATGAACTTCACATTAGAATTAAACCTAGGTGGTTTACCAAAATGTAGAATCCAATTTAACCGTGCACCGAGTAAAAATACAACATCAGCATTTTGCAAGGCATATGTACGTGCAGATGCTACACACAGAGGATGGTCATCAGGTACTACACCTTTACCCATTGGTGTAGCTAGAAATGGTAATTCAAATTGACTGATAAAATTTCTAACAACATATTCTGCATGACCATAGGCGGCACCTAAACATCATAATAAATTTGGTAATACATATTCAATAAAAATGCGCATTTTGATTTCTTACCTTTGCCTATAATAACTAAAGGACTTTTGGCATTCATTAAGTCTTCGGAAGCCAATTTAATATTTTTAATATCAGGGAAAATCATTGGAGGTAATGGGACTGATGGTTTGTTAACCACTTTGTCCTCAGGGACTTGAGCAGATAATAGATTAGCAGGAAAGTCTAAATACGATGCACCTAAAATCGTAGTGAAATATAAATATTGTAATTCTTATAGAAAAAGAGTTGTATCACCTGGTCTGCCGTAAGTAGCATAACGTATTGCTTTTTCAACATGAACTGGTATAAGAACAGCACTTGGAGGTCTTGCGCTGTACTTACAATATGGCCGGCTCAGTTCAACTTGATTGCATTCTTGAAAACCACCAATCCCTTCATGATCTTCTGCACAAGAACCAGCAATCACCAATAAAGGCCTTAAAAATGCAACAATTAGAAAAAGGTTTGTGAAAATTATGTTGTGTTAACACTGTGCAACACGGACCAACAGTTTATTTGAGCGTTTGCCATCCCGGCGGTAACGTGAAGTAACCCTGGGCCTGACACGACTAGACATACTCCAGGCGTACGAGTGAGATAACCAATTGCTTGAGCGGCGTACACGGCTGCTTGTTCATTGCGCATGCCGATATACTTTAGACCTACTCGTTGTAAGGCCATGCTGAATTCGACAACTGGTATGCCAACGATGCCAAAAACGAATTCAACTCCCTAATTGAAAACGAGACGAAGTCGTCACCATAATATTATCTTTATTATTACTATAGTTATCAAGGAGAAGACCAAGGTACCTAGTTGACCTATTTACTAACCTGGCATTTCAACGATTGGGCGAGAATGTTATTGCCGTCGATGTTCTCCGGTTCATTGGACATATTGGGGACAGGAATTCTTGTCTAACAACAAACAGGTACGAGAGCAGAGGGAAAAAAATGAAAAACGCTGATCACCGGTTGCCCGAGAAAATCGCATCAGTAATGACGGAAACGTTATGCTCGATACTGTTTAATAAAAACAGGAAATGAAAAATAATTATCGTTATTTGGCAGCAACAATAATTACTATTATCTATTGTAATTGTTGTTATTATTATTCGACGATCAGAGATAAACAATAGTGATAACAACAAAAACACAGTAAAAACCAGTAACCAACTGATAAAGTGATAAACGAAAGTGCCGGGTTATAGCATAAATATGAAATGGTTGTACTGTAAAATGCGTCTGCATTATTTTCTTCACTTTTTAGAAAAAACGGCACCTCTAAATTACTCTATGGATTACACTTTGAATAATTTCGTACATGCAAGTGTTAATCGTGAAGAATTTAAAATACATCAGGTCAGGGGCTCAACTAGGGGGTGGAAGACGAGGATTCATCCTCGGGCGTACAATTTTAGAGGTAATTTTTGTAATTATTAGCAAATAATTTGATATTTTTAACTTTGTTAAATACTGATGATATTAGGTATAAACTCAATAAGTATGATTGTATATTAATTATAAGAAAAAAATTCTTGAGAATAGTATTTGATTATTGGTCTAAGATAGGGCGTAAATTTAACGTTTTCCCTGGGCGTAAAAATTCCTAGTTGCACTTCTTCATCAAGTATATACACGTTTACGCGACAGATTATTTCGGTTCGTCGTTTCTTACCGTTGATGAACGATAATCTCAGTGCTTGAAATGGAAAATTTATGAAGCGGAACTCATAAGATTATTATGCGGATAATCCTAATATTAAATTTTAATTATATTAATTGGTGTTTCCTTAAAAATAAAATGTAATCAATTAAATACATAACGAATAAATAATATAAACATTTTAACTATACAGTTAAAATGTAATGATTTTTAATAATTTTCATAATGCTACGTAGGTATTTTTTGTCATTTTTTCATATTTGCGATTTGCAGTATTATCAGTTGAATGTCTACCTCTGGCTTACCATGTGTGCGTACATATTTTCAGGATAAAATTCAGTGAACGGAGGGCCTACACAATTAACGAATGAAAATGCAAAAACTGTATTAATATTTAATGAGGATCAGAGGGGTTTTTACTCGTATGCATAGGCATAGTAGCTAAGGGTTTAAAAAAAAAATATATTTAAGTCGGCCGGAATTTTTCCTTGTCTTCCTTCCAATTTGTATATTTAAAAACACCGAACAATATAATATTGTCTTCGTTCAATTGAAAGTGGCAACACAAGTAGTATATTTTATCATCCCCAAAGTGAATATTTTCGACTTCAACGTTGTGTACGACTTCAATGTTGTTCACGTATCTGTGTTCTCATGCTGATATTTTTCATATTGATTGTATAAATGTGAGGAATTAGTTATTATCATTCAATTTTTTGAATTATTTATCAAACCTGTGTATAGTTGACTTACATTAATCTGTGGGAAAAATGAGAAAATTTTTATAAATATTAAATTCAATCACTTGTAAAGTGTCTGTTAGTTTATGTACAAGTTCCCTTATAATCGAATTAAATACTCTTATTTTTATTATAATAGTTTTATCGGCTTCTATAAAAGTGTTACAATACCTTTGCAAACATTTCGTTAAGGTTCCTAGTTAAAGTCCATCTAAAGCGTCTGCCATTGCATCATAAGTACTAATAAAATTCAACGCTGGAGATCATTATTGTATGTTGTTATATGTGTTTCATTCTTTTGAATCCATTGTCATACCCGTTGAATTAGATTTAAAACGTTTATAAAGAGTCAAATGATTTATGACAGCATTTATAGTTCGTTTACTAGACACAACCCAATGTAACTAATAAAATTCTTCCAATTTTTATAATTTATTTTCTAAAGAACTTGCTACTTGTCTAACTTATTTTGATTTTTTGTCGATTGGTGATATAAATAATATAATTTGTCCATAAATATTTAATAATGATTTATTCCAGTAATTTCATTTACATTATTATTAATAGCAAGCCTTTCGGACTTCTACAAAAATAAAAATTTTGTATTTTATTATATTTTTTCGAAAGAAAATTTGATAATATTAGTATTTTTGGATTGCGATACTGTCAGAAACGTCAAACCAAATGGCAATTTTTTTTTTTTAATATTTTTCTCAAACCGGAACTTTTAAACTATAGTAAGTTTCAGTCCATTTCAAGCACTCATAGTTTATGTATTAAAATGAATATAGCATTTGAATTCGGAAACTGATGTTGATGTTATAGAGTTCAAAAAAATACGTATACATTTTGAAAAATAACTACTTTTCAATTCTTATCCCACAGACGTGGAAATATTTTATTAAACGATTCATGGTTCTTCTGTTCGTTTTCTGAAATCGGTATGCATTTTCTGGGGCAAAACAGTTTCACAACATTGGGTATGAAATTATGAAGGGTAATTTCATTGATCCGGTAACTACAAATAATTCTTCTATAACTTTAGGGTTTCTTCGAATTAAATCTATCTACCTATCAAGTGTTTTACTCGGTTGATCAACAACATTGATTAGCTGGCAATATATTATGCTAAACGGTGTCTGTTACTGGATGAGTATTTAAAAAGTGGACCTGCTATTGTACGTATTGTAGCGTGTTCAACGGTGCCGCATTAATGTTCAGTACTAAGTGTTAAGACTGGGACAAGTTCAATAAATGTAGTTGAAAAGAGTATTTTTACGGTATTGTCGGTATTCTATTTAATATTTAGAAAAATCAACGGAGTTAAAACTATGACGATGACCGATATTAGCCGATCTTGCGTACTAAACGGCTGGGTACGTCTTGGATTTAGTGTCGATCCGGATTCCTTGTATATGTTAATGGATGGCCTTCTGTAGCTGATTCCATGAAGGTGTTAGATGGACGTTCATGCATTTGTCGTTATTAATTGATTTGTAGCTAAATACGAATCGTTAGCTGTCAATGACCACACATTAGTAGAAAATATACGTTCGCTCGTGTACATTGTAGTTCTCTAAGAAACAATATATACGAGTAATTTATTGATTTTTTAACTACGTGAAACATTACAAATACGTTTTTCATTATTATTTATATAAGCAACACATGGCATATTACACGTAATTAGATTTTTACGTGTTACATTATCGTTTTGTATTGGTAATACGTGGCGTATTACATTATTAACCAAAGGAAAAGTAGCGTATGTTTTCATACAACCCATTATTTAGCTATTATGAAAAATGACAACAAAATATATTATTGTGTTCTAATGGCATTAGGTGGATGATATACGTGGTACACTTTTTTTTTTATAGTTTTGTCCCGACAGAGTATATATGTGTCCGACTAAGAATACGGATGCGCAAATAGTAATAAAATATGTTCCTAATAATTCATTCTTTTTCTCTTTTTCTCTTTTTTTTAAAAAAAAAAAAAAAAGTAAACAGTACGTATTTATGACTTTAAAATGTTGAAATATTTTCTGCTAATTAAAGTATCACCAATAATTAAATAACGCTGCCGCTGCAGACTAAATAGGTCACGCATCTGCCTCGAAAGCCTACTCCACATGGGTATACCTATAAGTAACTATGTACAAGGAATATATTTTAAGACTGATAAATATTTAAAATTTGTTGTATTAATAAAATATCGTATTATAAAATATTTCAAAATAAAAAAATGACTGTATAAAATATTATAAGCTATTGAGATATATTTCATCAAAAGTATTCAAAAGGTAATTTTAACATTTTCGAAAATCGAAAAAAGTGAAATATTTTGCCGTAACGAATGATAGTTAAAATACGGACTTAAAAAATGTATTCAATCGTAACATATATACTTGTACAAACTTGTACGAATTGTATCCTTGTACGGTTAAATTGATAATACTTAATATGCTTCCAGGTCTTATTAATAAACAAAGTGATTCATATCAAATCAATCAAATGGCTCTTGAAATCCTTATTTATCGAAGTGTGAATTCGCATACTAATTTCCACTATCTTTCGAGGATCATCGACAGCCGTTGCTGCTATAGGAGGCGTGCCGAGAAAAATCTCTTGAGCAATTCTCTGGTCTTCTCCGTTCTTCGCGTAACATGACCCAACCGACATCGGTGTTGCGTGGGACTGTTAGGCATGCGATTCCATTTGCCGATCGAAAGGTGTCGCAACCCAGTCATCTCGGTGTCGGGATCTGCACAGCGTACAAAACGATTGGCGAATGCTGTGCGATAGCGTGTGAACGTAGGCGCGGGAGAAAGAGTAACGTATTCACAAATTCTACAGTAGACTACGATTCAAGTTTTTCAATACTCCGAACGGGGCACTGTTGATCCGTGATTTGAATCAATTGGTCAGGAATCGTGGCACCCGACGGATCGAGTGACTATGCATGTTTTTGACGGCTAATGCCAAGATTTAAAATACGTTTATCCGATATACCTGCTCTTGGTGATTGGATTTCCGATGACTTTAACTCCCTGATGACGTTATCGCGTCCGTACCGGCTCTGGTTTCGACCGGAACCTCTTCCCGTGAGATCGGCCGCGGGGTGTCTACTGATACAACCATCGCGGATTCGCCCTGTACAGTTGAAAGACGAACGTTAATTGAGGCCGTGAATGTGGTGCTCTTTGAAATCGGGCGGAAGATAAGTACTACAGGCGTCGTCGATTGCATGCGCTTGACGTGGCGCAATTTGCATAGCCGGTGGTAGTAGGTCACGAAATTCACGCATTTCGCTGTTGGGCTCAACAACGACCTCTTCCCGCATTTGGAATATCTGCGTGTCTATTTGTAAAATGGTTTGTTCACGAAAACGTGGTCGAACGTTTGATGTGCCATATCGTCGCTATTGGTCGGTTGGTGAAACAAAATATTGCGAAAACCGTAAAAAAAAATTGACTCTTATAACCATGTCGAAAGGTTATACTCTTGTTAACTGAATTAAATTAAATTTATTTATTCATTTTTATTTATTCAATTTATGAAAATCATTTTAAAATTATTATTAAATATTGGCTGTTCAATAATTTTACTTAGCCTCTAGATTCGTTCTGTAAGCAATTTATATCGGCCGAAAACTATATATATATATATATTATATAATATAATACAGTGC